TTTATTTATTTAAGAATTAATTAGATGATGATGCTTTTGTGGAAATTAGCATTTTTAGTCATCAATTAATTTTTAAATAAAAAATGTAAAAATAATATTTTTAAATAAAAAAGTTTAAAATCTATTATTTTATTTAAAAATTAATCAATAAAATTTTTATTTTTAAATACAAATAAAATAAAATTTATATCCTTATCTATACCTTTTTCTCAATGGAGATTATCACTAAGTGAAATTTATTGTCACCATAAGATAATTTTGTTTAAAAGAGATAAATCATTCTCTGGTATGTAATTTAAACCAAATATTTGGAAGGTAAAAAGCAGTCTAAATAAAGGATAATAAAAAAGAAATGAGTTGCGGATTTTTAGGTTGATCTATTAAAAAGTTTAAAAATATTTATAAAATTAATAAATATATTTAATAAATTCACATTTTCATGAGATTCATGTAGTTAAATAATTTTACAATATTTTGACATTTTTTTACGAAATTGATCTGAAAAATAATTTCTAAAAAAAACTCTAAAAGTTGTAATAACGCAATATTTTCTGTTTAAAAAAATTACTTTCATTTTTTCGTTCCCAACCGTCAAAAGTTGACCATTGCCAGCATTGAAAATTTGAAACTTCCTGTGATTTAGAAACTCACATTGGACAGAAAACCTGCAACAACAATGGCGGCATTTTCTATCCACAGGGACACATTGTCTCTGTTCCTGTTCATTTTTCTGGCAAATCCCACATTTTCTCTCCCTTCCCAAACCCTAATCGGTAATCCAAATTTCGATCCTCAGGTCGTTCTCTTCGGTGACGCCAAGCCAGCCAATGGCGATTCTCACGTGGTGCTCACAAGCCCAGATGATTCAAGTTCTGGTCTTATTGTTCTAAAGGACCCCTTCAAGTTTATGGAAGGTAATCTGACCAAAGGTGTGTCTTTTTCCACGGAGTTTTTGTTTTCCATTTCAGCTGGTAATGGTGATGGTTTAGCCTTTGTTGTTGTTCCTTATGATTTCCCGTCGAGATTTGTAGGCCAGGGTTCTTTTGGGCTTTTGGGTGAAAATAGGTTTCTGGGTATTGAATTTGATACCAAAATTGATGGAAATGTAGGTGATTTGAATGCAAATCACGTAGGGGTTGATGTTGATACTCTTGAATCTTTATGGATTAAGAATATCTCATCTCTTAATTTGGTGTTAAACAATGGGGAGACATTGAAATGTTGGATAGATTATGATTCAAGCTCCAAAAGATTAGAAGTTCGATTGAGTAGATCTGGTGACAAGAGGCCTTACAAACCCATTCTTGCATATCATATCGATTTGCTTGAAATGTGGGGTGGTGAAGATGTCTTAGTGGGTATTGTATCCACCAATGGTGATTCTTTACAGAGTACTAGTGTTTATTCTTGGAGGTTTAGGTTAAGGAAGGTTAGTAGTTGGATGCATTCATTGCCGGCAAATCCGCATGATTATGTGAATACAGATGGTGAGGATCCAGGGGTTCACAAGAGGAGCTTTTGTGCTCTGACAATCCTTGCTGGGGTAATTTTTGCTACTGGATGTGGAGCCTTGGTGGCCTTTGTTGGGTTGTTTATGTGGGCAATCTTTGTTAGTAGGCACACAGTGTTCCCAGTTGAGTATCAAAAAGGTTCAACAGATTTCAGGTATGAAAAGATCAAAGTGACCGTAGAGGACACTGAAGGTGATAAGAATTAGAGAATGAAATGTATTGTCTTATGTTGTTAACTAATGTGATAAACGTGTATGCTTTTGTTATATATCCTGTATGTAGCTGAGTAGCTCTAATGCATTCTAGTTAACTCTCTTCTAGGCTATATTTAGATGAAAGAAATCTATTTCACGAATCATGTTGTTGTGTTACTGTATAAATGTATAACATATAACTCTTTGCAAATGTCACTGCAAGCTATAGTATTGCTTGGAATGCATTAAAAGTTTGATTCTTCTGCATATCCTTTGTTGTCAGTATTTCTCCATTGTCATGTGTCAGCATTAGATGGTTCAAATACAAGATATCGTGGCACCTTAGATTTGGTTAAACCTTTGAGTTATTGCCACAAATGCAGAGATGGACCATTTTTCACTTAATTTCTATTACCAGATCAAATCTCAAGGTTTATAGATACATCCATTCCACCTAATGGGGGAAAGAATTGTTGCCTCAATTATTTGCAACTCTCCAAATCTTGCTCCTATATCATTTTTTTTTTCAATATAGTTATCATTAATGAATCTGGATTCTGGATTGAGATTGCTGATTTATAGTCCCAGCCTGTCTATAATTTATAGTTATCATTTGTAGCTCTAATGCATTGTAGTTGACTTCTTGCTTCTATGAAAAGTGTGATCCTTCTACATAACCTTTGTTATCATTGTTTCTCCATGTCATGTGTCAACATTAGATGGTTCAAGTTTATGCTATTGTGGCACCTTAGATTTGGATAAAAACCTGTGAATTATTGCCACAAATGCAGAGATGGACCTTTTTCACTTCATTTCTATTTCGAGATCAAATCTCAAGCTTTATAGATACATCCATTCCACCTAATAGGGGAAAGAATTGTTGCCTCTACCATTTACAGCTCTCAAGATCTTGCTATTATACCATATTTTTTCAATGTAGTAATCATTAATGAACCTGGATTGAGATTGCTGATTTATAATCTCACCCTGTTTTTCTATTTAGCTCACAGTCATCTTCCACATCCACAGTGAGGACTCATTTAGTGAACTTATTCATTGTGTATTATCGGTCATTTTCTTAGGATTTACCTCCTGAAGCCTTCTCATGGCAGTTTATAAACTTTAACAGGTATGTAGTCAGTCCATCTCTTGTTGTCATGATACTGAGGTGCGCATTACTGAATTGTGCATCACACTTTAATATGCGATACTATAAGCCTGTTGGGGGAGAATCAGACTCCATTCTTGAGTTCTGCTCGACACTGAGCTTTCTAGCATAGAATTTCCTTATGTCTCCATTGCTAGTTGCCGATCATAAATCCTTAGCATAACAGAGGCATGTCATTAACTTCATTTTCTCATCAATGTCTGCTTTTTAGGACAGTCTGTGTTTTAGCTTTCTCCTACCATCGCTATGGCCATGATTGGTTCTCTTATTAGACTGTAGCCCTGTTCTTGCACTAATGCTACATTCTCCACCATTGCAACGAAACATAATTTGCTTGGTTGATTTGTTTATCTTGGCATCATCGCTTTTATGATTTGCTTATGATTTTGACCTCCATCGCCTCGTCTATGCGCATGCTGACGGTTGGTAATGGTCAAGTAAGTTCTGTTAGCACTACCACTGCATCTAGGTCCACCGCAAACTGTAGCCCTCTTTCCAATTTTCACTGTCAATCTATTCATGATTTCATGCGCATTCTTAAGGTCTGATTTTTGAGTTGTGTACTTGTGTTACAAACGCTATATACTATCAACACTCTCTTGGTAATTAAGTTACGTGATATTACTACCCTATCTATTTTATTTATTACATTTTTGCTCAGCACTGACTATAGAAAAAATTAAAAAATTTATTAAAGTATATTTATTATTAATTAAAATTTTATATTTATCTTTATTAATAGGGATATTGAAGAAGTTAAAATATGTTATTTTTAAAAAAGAAGTAATTGTTAATAGCGGTCAAATTAAAAAAGAAGACTTTAATGTTATTTAAAAAATTAAAAATTACATATAAATTGAATAACCTCTTTTTTAAATGTGCAATAATATAATGTTATATAATGCTTAAAAGAGAGTGTTAGAAAAATATTATTAGCATTTCTCACGTTCTTTTCCTTTTTTTTTTTCTTTTTTTTTCATTTACCACTTTTGTTAATTCAGACGAGCAGACTCAAGGTTTTTAAAATCGGACCGGATCGGTCGGTTGAACCGGTCAAATCGATATCCGGTGATGAAAATGATTTGGTTTACATAAAAAACCGTTTGAGGTTAAAACCAGTCAAAACCAATAAAAACTGATGAAACCGGTGAAACCAAAAAAAACCACCGGTTCAATTTCTCATGCAATTTTCTTTCAATTTTTTCTAATTTCACCCTTCCCATTCCTTTTTTATACCCATTTTAACCTTTAATTTTAACAAAATTACAAAATTATCAACACCAAATTAGAAAATCCATGTTTGCAGCTTGCTCCTCTCATCAAATCTTCTTTGCTGTTTGGATCGATCGGTTCATTGATTTAACCGATTGAACCGATTAAACCAAAAACCAAACCTAAAAACGATTCAATGACCGATCCGATTTTAAAAACCTTGAGCAAACTTTCTTACCTTTCCCCAAAGCCTAAAAGGGTAGGGAATTTTGTTTTCTTCTCAAGCTTTCATTGATTTCTGTTGGACGGTTCCCACTTTCAGAAATGCAATTTTGCCAGATATTCTTAATCTGTTCAGTCTTTCACCTAATTTTTTTGATTATTAGTACCTTAACAAGTTAACACGTTTTTTTTATTTGTTGATTAGTACCTTAGCAAGGTAACACGCTTCAAAGACAGAATTCCAGTTTTATACGATTACTAAGAGAAAATTTATTT